AGAGATTTCCAGGATGCCGAGGATGACACTCAAGTTTCTGGCTGAGCAGACTAGTGGGTGGTGATGCTATTAATGAAAGTGGAAAGCCAACTGGCTGTTTTTGGCAACCAGTCTTACCACCTACCATCAGGAAAATCCCTCAGCCCTTTCCACATGTCCCTCAGAAAGCATGTCACTGCCAGTGTCTGCCTTCCTCATCCTGACTTGCCCAATGGTCCCTTCTGACCAGTGGACATTTCTGCCAACCAAGAAGCACCTGCAGGCTTCTCTGCTCCCACAGAAACTCTCCTGATATCGACGGCTGTCTCTGCCCTTTGAGGACCATGCTCCCACTCTTGCCAGGCACTGATGGTCAAAGTCAAGAATGGCCTCTGATGGAATGCTGCAGGCTGGTTCTGGGGCTGGAAGGGTGGATCCTGTCTGGAGCTTATAGTTCTGTCTGTGGCTGAGAGAGGACGATCGTATGACAATCTACTCCAAAGCTGAGGTGTGGCAGGGCCTGTCTCAGGAGCGTGTTGGTTAACAAGAATTAAAAATGGAGGCAGCTTACTAAAAATGGCGGAACAGATATGGTGATGGTTGTACAACTTTGTGACTATACTAAAAATCACTGAGTTGTAGGCTTTCTTTCCTTGTTTTTTGTACTTTTGTAAAAATATATATAACGCATCATTTGCTAATTCAATGTTTTTCAGGTGTACATGAATGGTACACTTTTAAAGGATAAATTTTGAACTTGAAATCATCTCATACAAAAGAATGAAATAGATTGCAGTAACTCCTATGAAAAAGGAAGTGGGTTCCACCACTCCTGTGGCTTCCAGCCAAACGAAAGACAGGCATATAAGCTAAACATTTACATTAGGTAGTACTCCTTGGAGAGAACAATCATGAGAGAATAGAAGGGCTGTGTATGCACTGGGAGACAGCTCAGAGGGCAGGAGTGCACGGAGGGAAGGACATAGGGAAGAGGTAACTATGGGGAGGAAGTGGGAGAGGAACTGTTACATTGTGGGAAATTGCAATCAATGTCTTGTGACAAAGTGTATGTGCGCTGCTGTTTGGAAAGTGAATTTGCTCTGTAAACTTTCAAACTTTCACCCAAATCACAATCTGGAAAAAAAAAAAAAAGTGTGTTTCAGGGTGATGATAAAGGAAAGAGAAGCCCTGTAACATGTGAAAAGCTCTGGTTCACCTTGGTCATCTCCCACTTGGGGGTGCTCTTAACCAGTACTCTTCCTTAGTAATTAACTTCAGGCCTTTTCCTTCCTACTGGGCCTGGGAAGGATAAACTTTGAGATGCTGGTGACTCTTCCTCCCTGAGCATTCCTGGGAGAGCTCTCTCTTCTTTGCTAACCCTAGTCCCCTCTTCCTGCCCCCTCTTTGCTCTCTCTTTCCCCTCCCCCTCCCCATCCAGATGTTAGAATATGGGCTTTGTGCCTTCTCTCTTCCTTTTTGACTGCTTGGGTTATGAGAAGAAATAGGGATAACCACTTGTCCCTTGAACCGTTCGTTGCTGGAGAGACTAGGGCGCCCTCCTCTGGTCAGCAGCAGCATTGCTTCTCTCCACCCTCTGGGCTTGATTTTCTTCCAGCTGGAATTTTAGCAATGAACTCTGGTAATCAAGGCAGCTTTTTTCCCTAAGAGATACATGAGAAACAGTAAAAGTCCTGAGATATAGGTGACCAGAAAGAAGATAAAGCAATCACCAAACCAAAAACCAAACCCACTGCCATCGAGTCAATTCTGACTCATAGTGACCCTATAGGATGGAGTAGAACTGCCCCATCGGGTTTCCTAGGCTGTACATCTTTCCAGAAGAAGACTGCCTTATCTTTCTCCTGCATAACAGTGGGTTCAAACCACCAACTTTTGTTTAAAAGCTGAATGCCTTAACCACTGTGCTACCAAAAAAAAAAAAAAAAAACCTTACCGCCGTCAAGTCATTTCTGACTCATAGCCCCAGAGCTCCTTAAATCAGTCACAGAAGCTTAAAAAAAAAGTTCATGTTTTTATTCTGTATCTTTCATTCTAAAAGAGGCAAACGTGGCCCAGTGAAAAGTACATGGACTATAGAGTTGAAAAAACTCACCAGCTGTGGTGGTATAGTGCCTAAGGCACTTGACTGCTAACCAGAAGGCTGGCAGTTCAAACCCACCAGCCACTCCTCAGAAGGAAGGTTGGGCAATCTACTTCCATAGTGATACTGCCTCAGAAACCCAAGGAGGGGTTGCTATGAGTCAGATCCAACTCGACGGTAGTGGGTTTGTGGGTATGACCTTAGGCAAGCTGACTTCTCTAAAACCAGGCCTTTAAACTGGTTTGAACCAGTTCAGTCATGGCTGACAAAATGAAACTGGAATGGACACAAATTTTTAAAGTTTGGGTGATCTAGAACACTAACCAGAACAGGAAACAATACAAGTCAAAGACCTGGAATGGAGGACTCAGAAGAGGTGAGCCTTTTCAGGAGCCCTTTCAGGACCCTGATACATGATATTAGATTATTGCCAGGGCTGTGGAGAGAGACACACATTCAGAGTGCGTAGTTGCTGCCATCTTTCAGTTGGGCACCATTGTTTCAACTCAGCCAATCAAGGGATTTGTCTCTGTGCAACGCACATGTTTCCTTTGTTTTCTAAGAAAGAGATTGAGTTTCTAGCAGGGCTTCAATCATAGTCTTTTCCATTCTGATTAGCATTCTGGTTCACCCATATTTAAAACTTCAGGTCCATTCCAGTGTCACTTCATCAGCCACATGTGGACCAGGCTGAACCAGTTCAAAGCCCTGTCTGAAACTTAAGACTATTCATCTATAAAATGGAAACAATAACAAGATCTACCTCCCAGGATTGTTGTGGGATAAGATTTAATTAATGTAGTTAAGTAGCTTGCACAGTGCCTGCCATCAGATAACCAAAAAAAACCCAAACTCATAGCCATCAAGTTGATTCCAACTTATAGCAACCCCCATTGGGTTTCTGAGGCTGTAAATCCTTACAGACAAGTAGATCGCCCCATCTTCCTTCCTCAGAGCAACTGGTGGGTTTAAACTGCTGACCTTCTGGTTAGCAGACTAATGCCTTGTTCACTATGGCACCAGAGCTCCCTGAAGTAGGTACTCAGCAAATGAAATCTGTTTCTGTTAGCATTATTACAACGAATGACTAGACTGGAATCATGTTCTCTCTTTGGAAGATCTGTAAGCAGGCCAGCTGCCTCATACAATTCCAGGGTCTTCACTCACGTTGTATCTATAAAGCCACTCCCCACCCCCCAAGATGAGCAATGCTGACTCTTTGGGGCTGATTCAGTTGCCAGTTTTTGGACCCTCTGACATAGAGAGGTGGAAAGAGATTTAGAAAAATACACAAGAGATCAAAATAAAACTTTCTTCTTTAAAAGTAAAGATAAAGCCTGAAAGGCCCAGCGGGAAACAGACTGGGTCCCCTCCACTCCAGTAGATGAGTTTGGCCCCTGTCCGCACATGGACAGAGGCCAGCAAGCATGAATTTCCTGTTCCAGTCCCCTCTCAGATGCGGCCTTGAGCAGAGTGTGAACGTGGGCTTGCTCTCATCTTTTTAGTAGTCAAATGATTTTCTTCCTGTGGGGTGGGTACCCAGTGGGAGGGACTAGAGAAAGAAAAAAGAAAAAACAGGCAGCGGACAGATGGTAAGAGTGGACAGTGAGAAGGCACAGTGGCCACCACGGCGCCAGGAGCTCGGGTGTGTTCCTTTGACCTTTCTCAAGTGCAGACTCCCCAATAGCTCTTTACCCTGTCCCCTTGTCCCAGGGTGGAGGTGCCTGTAGCTGTTTTGGCCTTTTGGTAGCATTAAATTGCAGTGCCACTTGCCAAGACCCCTTTAAACCTCTTGGCTGTTCTTTTTGCCTTTTTTGATCAGCTATGTTTATTCTCAACTCAATGGTCCTCATTGCAGGATGAAGGGATTTACTGCTTAAGTATATGAAAAGAAACCTTGGCTGCATTACAACTGCACCCTCTCCTCACTCCCCTCACCCTCCCTCCCCATGCTCCATCCACTAGCTGGCGCCACAGAGACTGAATGGGGAGCCCACTCTTGGTACAGTTGGTCAGTTCAGTTTAGTGGCAGAGCGCAATTGATGGAAAAAAAGTGTGGTGATTGGGAGGAGTTTGCTTTTGGGAACCTTCTCCCAAATGTTTCTTGCTGCCCAGGGGAGACTGCAGATCTAGTAACAAAACTGACTGTCTCAATCTCTCTCTCTCTCTCTCATACACACACACACACTCTCTCTCCCTCTCTCTCTCTCTCTCTCTCTCTCTCTTTCTCTCCCCTTCTCAGGAGTCACCGGGTGGTGCAAACAGTTAATGTGCTTGACTGCTGACCAAAAGGTTGGCGGTTCAAGTCCACCCAGAGGCTCCTCAGAAGAAAGGGCTGGCAATCTACTTCTGAAAAGTCAGCTATTAAAAACCCTGGGGAGAAACAGTAGTTCAGCTTAATTAGTAAAGAATGTCTGCCTTGAGCATTGTGTTCTTCTAAGAACTGTCTATATAGAATCAAACTGCAAGAGCAACTCGAAAGATGAGAAAACTTAGTGGGGAGTGAGTTTATATTATGAGAAAGGAACAAATTGGAAAAGGAGGGTAGGAATGAATGTAATCCGTGTCACTGATTGTACATGTAGAAATAGTGGAAGTGATGTATGTTCTGTTGTGTATATTCTCAACAAAATTAAATAAATTTTAACAGAGAGCGCTAGGGATCACAGTGCCACTCTGACACACGTGGGGTCACTGGGAGTCAGTCAGCACAGCAGCAACTGGCTGTGTGTTTCCCCCACAGGATTGTGCTCATGGATGATGCCATGGACTGCTTGATGTCTTTCTCAGACTTCCTTTTTGCCTTCCAGATCCAGTTTTACTACTCAGGTGAGAGTCTTCGAAAGCCCATGTACAGGCTCCTGTCTAGGACCATGTCTCCCTTTCTTACCCTGTCGCCCTTTCTATCTGCTTGTCTGGCACACTTTTCCCTTCTTCCTTGTGGGGGGAGGGGTGGAGTGTTTCACCGTGGGTCCCTAACAGGATGTCTCGTTCCCACTGGCAGTCACAACATTCAATCCGCACAGCCTACTTCCTCAGCCCCCTCAAGACATTGAAGACCACCGTGCTTCCAGTCACCAGTACACCGAATCAGTTTAAGTGAGAATGACAATAACAATAACGATAGCATTTACTATTTATTGAAACTTACTATATGCCAGGCAAGTAGTAAGCACTTTAATCCTTAGAACAGGCCTAAGAAATGGGTACTTTCAAGTGGTAAGGTTACAGAGGTAAAGAACCAGAGCCACATAGCTAAGAAGTGGTGGAGGCAGACTTGAAGGGACTGCTGGTCCACAGCTCGTGGAGCCCATGCTGCTAGCCGCTCTGCTGTGGGACTAAGATCCCATGCCTCTCCCTTGGCCTCTGACTCATGTTTCTGGGCACACATTTTCCCACCAGGCTGATCTACTCCCACCCTGCTCCCTACTGCACACAGCTACACCCTTAAGTCCCTCCTGGAATCAGGTGGAAGCAAAGTGGATGGGTAAATACAAATGCATAGAGCTCACACACAAGTGACATCAGTGGAATGTTGGGTTTAGAAATCACTATGTCCATAAACAAAGTTGTTTAAAACAGGGCTCTTCCAGTAAACAGATGGCTGTCCTTGGAGCCTGGAGGTGGCCTTCCTGTCAGCTTGTGGTCCCAGCAGCCCTCGACTCATTTAGGCCATTCTGTTTACTCACTGGCAGCCCAACGGCCTGGTCAGGCAGGGGCTAAAGCCTGGAGGTTCACCCCTACTCTTTGTAGCCCCAGATACCTATTTCTGTTTCTATTTCTGTGAAGCCCATGGGCCTTAGAGGAGGAGCAGCCATGTTAGGGAGCACCTTTTCCCATCTTGGCCTCCCTGGTCCACCTTCACTTGGGGACTCACACATCACTGCATTGCACAGCCGTGTGTGTTGTTCAGAGAGGAGACAGACCATAAGTAATTGGTTATTCACAATGGCTCAATTACTAAAATTTGGGACCAAATATTTACTAAAACAGCAGGTTGCCAGTTTTCTCTTTTCCTCACTGGTATCTCTACATACTTACTTGGGTCAGAGAGGCAGGTGGCCTCACAAGATGAGGTGTACCAGTGGGGCACGCACATGTTTGCTCTCTCAGAAATCATTTCTAGCATTTAGTGTGTACCAGGTACAGTGCTAGGTGCTGGGGAAAGCAAAGATCTTACATCTTAGCAAAGAGGCAGGTTAAACAATTAACTGCACAGAGAACTGGTCATTGGATAAGTGCTACAAAAAAAGTATAAGGGCAATGAAAGGATTAAATGGGGGAATCTCACATAGTCTAGGAGGCCTGGAACAACTGTCCAGAGGATGGACATTTGAGCTGAAACACATGAGTATTGCCTCTCATGAGTGTGCTGGTCAAGCAAGGTTGAAGGCTCCTGCTCTCGGGACACCACCCACATCAGGCACTGACATCTACAGCTAACAATACAGAAGGGAGGACACAGGGAGGGGCCAAAGTATGTGCTCACTGCCTAACTGTGTCCACCCACCTATGCTATCCAGAATTCCTGGAGAGTGTGTCTGCCATCTATCAGGACCTGCTGTCCGGCAAGAATCCCAACACAGTGATTGTACCAACATCGTCCAGTGGGCAGCACCGCCAGCGGCCTGCCTTGGGTGAAGCTAGCATGCTGGAGGGTGTGGAAGCATCACTGTTCTACCAGTGCCTGGAGAACCTGTGTGACCGGCACAAGTACAGGTGAGAAAGGCTCGCAGACCCCACCTGAGCCCCAGGGATAGGAGGCTGCTGGCTTTTGGAACAGATTCCTAGTAGGATGCTCTGATTGGTCCAGAGCTTCTGGGACCCTTCATGATCATAGCATAAAGGGCAACAGCACCATTTGCCCCAAACCAGAGAGCTGACTGAGAGACTTCCCAGTCGACTTGCTTAGAAAGAATTGCTTTCACTTGGACAAGAGGAGCCGTAGACAGCCAACCTGGCCCCTTCTCCTGACCAGGAGATAGGCTAGCCTTAACTCTTTCAGAAAGAACATTCACTGTACAAAATTTCCTACAGAAAAGGACAGAGCAACCAGTTTTGGTCTCCTCCAAGATGAGGTTGTTACCTCTAGCCATTTCATCTTCCCCACCCCGTCCTAGTGAAAGCCCCAGTTAGTAAACACACCAGCCTTTCCTGTCTGCACTCAAGGCCAAGCTTCTCTAGGGGCTGAGGGCCCCCTAGCAGGCAGATCTCTGTCTCAGCTTTGGGAATCCTTCTAAGCCTGAAAGTATGGATGGAGAGATGGCACTCAGATTTGCAAGTCTTTGAATCTAACACCTGTATTCCCTTCTAGCTGCCCACCCCCAGCACTTGTCAAAGAGGTCCTAAGCAACGTCCAGAGACTGACCTTCTATGGATTCCTTGTGGCTCTCTCAAAGCATCATGGAATCAACCAAGCCCTAGGTAAGCTAGAGCTGGGTATGTTCAGCTCCCCCTGCACCCGTAATTCAAGGCCAGGTAGGGGCTGGCCTCTGTGAGCAGACATGGGCCCACAGGGAGGGAAAATCATCTCTTCCTGGACTTCTCAGGGCAACCTCCGAGTCCTAGGGGCCGGAATATGCACAAGACTATGTCCTCTTAGGGAGCTCTGGTGGCATAGTGCCTAAGGCATTTGACTGCTAACCAAAAGGCTGGCATTCAAACCCACCAGCCACTCCTCAGAAGGAAGGTTGGGCAATCTCCTTCCATAGTGATACCACCTTGGAAACCCAAGGAGGGGTTGCTATGAGTCGGGTCCGACTTGATGGCAGTGAGCTTGGTTTTGGTTTTGGTGTCCTCCCAGGCCTCTCTCACATTTCAGTGGCAAGGGACAGCCTGCCACTCCCAGGGCCCTGTCCCAACATGAAGCAGCCTCTCCCATTCGATCCTAGTTCTGCCTTGGGGAGTGGCCTGCAGGTTGGGCAGATACAGGACTATTTACTCAGTGATTCTGGAGATTATATATCAAAGAGACCTGAATCCCATTTGTAAACAAGGCAAAGGTATGTCTGGGAGCCCTTTTTTTCCCAGCTGGAAAGAAAAAATCTGATAAATCTCAGATGGAGTTTAAAAAAAGGGGGGGCGGGCGCAGAGAAGGAGGGAGGTCTGCGCAGCCCAGTCTTTCCTGCTCACGTTTTTTCTTATTGGTTGGGTTCCTTATCCCTGGTCTTTTCTGCCTAACCTGCTCCTCTCCCTAAGTTCTCCTAGGGAAAGAGACACCAGGCCAATCATCCTACTGGAGCTTGAGGGGTTCTTATTTGTCTCTCTCCTTAGAGATACTCCAGGCATGCTTGGAACCCACCATCTCCCCTTCCTTTTGCCAGTTCTAAGTTTTCTGTGGCTGGGAATGGGTCAAGGGAAGGAAATGAACATTTGTGGATTTTTTTTTTTTTTTGACTATTGTGATTTCCTAAGGCATCTGACTGCTAACCAGAACGCTGGCAGTTCAAACCCACCAGCCATTCCTTGGAAGGAAGATTGGGTAATCTACTTCCGTAGAGACACTGCCTCGGAAACCCAAGGAGGGGTTGCTATGAGTCAAACTGACTCGATGGCAGTGAGTTTGGTTTTGATTTATTGTGATTTGGGTAGCTCTGGTGGCATAGTGCCTAAGGCATTTGACTGCTAATCAGAAGGCTGGCAGGTCAAACCCACCAGCCACTCCTTGGAAGGAAGACTGGGCAATCTACTTCCATAGAGATACTGCCTTGGAAACCCAAGGAGGGCTCGCTATGAGTTGAATCGACTCCACAGCAGTGAATTTGGTTTTTTATTGTGATTTGAGTGAAAGTTTACAGAGCAAATTGGTTTTCCATTCAAAATTCATATGCATTTTGTTTTATGACATTGATTGCAATCATCACAAAGTAACAGCACCCTTCCCACTTCTTCCCTGTTTTCCATTTCCATTCATCCTTCTTTCTTATCTTTTCCTGACTTTTGAGCTTTATTCTTGGGCAAATGCTGCCCTTTTGATCTTGTTTGGTTGATTGTCCTAAGAAGTGTGTCTCTCTCTGGTGGTATTGTTCACCTCAAAGGTCAGTCTGTTGTTTGGCTAAAATTTGAGCCCTGGGAGTGGGTTCAGTTCCAGGCTTCAAGGGTGACTAAGGGCCACAGTCCCAGGGGTTTCACCAGTTTGTATCAGACCAGTAAGCATCGACATTTTTATGATTTTGAGTTTCAGTCCACATTTTTCTCCCACTCTATCCAAGACCCTCTATTGTGATGCCTTTCATAGTGGTTAGTAGTAGTAGACAGGCAGCATCTAGTTCTTCTGGTCTCAGGGTCATGAATGCTGAGGTTCATGTGGTCCAATAGGCCTTTAGAATATTTGTTTCCATGTGTTCTGATTTTCTTCACTCTTCTTGGCTTTGGATGGCCAGAGTCCAATAGTTGCACCTTAGGCAGCTTTTAAGACCCCTGTCCCTACTCACCACAGTAGGATGTAGAACATTGTCTTTATGCCACTTGACTTAGTTGTCCCAAGAGTGGTTCTAATGATATTGTTAAATGCCAACCACAGAAGGTTGAGTGCTGTGCAGAATGCATTATGCTGGGATGGTTCTGGGATCACAGGAGCACAAATCCTGCAGGACCAACCTAGGTCCCGTTCAGGCATGCATATCACCTGACAGTTGAATTATCCTAAGCTTGGGGGCAGGCACAGTCTGAGGCCCCTTCAAGTGAGATTGGTAGCCAAGGTCACTGGCTGGACTAGGAGTAGAAAGGAGGCAAAACAGGAGTCAGAAGTCAAGGGTAAGGAGGTGGTGGGTGGATATCTGCTTAAGATTTCTTTCACACTCCTAGTCACTAGGAAGAAAAAGGAGAAGCTAACTAGCAATTGGGTCACAGTTTGGACTAAGCTCCTCCTCTAGCTTCTTCTAAGGGCCTTTAAAAAGGACAGTTACCCACTCAACAACTTCAACTGAGCACTAGTGTTCAGTGGAGTGGGAAATAATGACGAAGCACATAGTCTCTGCCCTCACCTGAACACAATTGTAGGAAACAGAAATCCAGAGATACTCTGAGAGAAGCCAGTTGAGGGAGAGGAATAGCTTTGTTCCGTTGGTCCTTGAGGCACCCCCAAAGAATGACAGGGTTAAACGGAACACAGTTCGAAAACCACTAAGAGCAAAAGTGAGCAGGAGGCATCATCTGAGAAAGTTGCAGAAGTCAGATACTGAAGGAGAACCAGACGGGCGGTTTGATTGACCAGCGCTGACTGCCGAGTCTGAGTTCTAAACACCAGTAAGCTCTTTGCCCTAAACAATTTGCTGGCGAGGATTCTTCTATTTGCAAACTTCACCCACACCTCCCTTCCTACTATTAATGTAACGATTCCTGGGCACATCCAAGAGCCTTTCCTCTTACTTTTCCCTAATACAAAAAAATTAACTTCCTTCTGTTTGTAGGTCAAGAGCTTGGTAGTTCAGTGGTAGAATTCTTGCCTTCCCTGTGGGAGACCTGGGTTCAGTTCTGGTCAGTGTTACCTCAGACCAACCGTCTGAGTGTCAGTGGAGGCTTGCCTGTTGCTTTGATACTGCATAGGTATTAGTGGAGCTTGCAGACTAAGATGGACTATAAAGAAAGGCTTGGCAACCGGCTTCCAAAACTCAGCCAATGGAAAGCCTGACTGAGTCTGCAGCTGCTCCCGGGATGGCATGGGAGCGCACAGCATTCCTTTCCATTGCACATGAGGTCACCATGAGGTGGAGGCCAATCCAGCGGCAGCTAACAGTTTATAGCTAAGGAACCCAACCTGGAGGAACTGGAGTTTGTCCTGAGATCAGATGGTTTATGGCAGAGCAGAAATGGGACTGCTACCCTCCTGGCCATGCAATCAAGTTGGTATGATCCTGCCCCAGCCTTTTCTTCTCATCCCTGGGGCCCTCCCAGGAGGTAAAAAGGCAACAGTTTTGACCATCTCTATCTCAAAGGTGGGGCCATCTTGGCTGTGGGGCACAGAACTAGGTAATTTCTGGTCTTTACTATAAGCCTAAAGGAGCCCTGGTGGCACAGTGGTTAAGTGCTTGACTGCTAACCAAAGAGGCTGGCAGTTTGAACCCACTTACTGCTCCATGGAAGAAAGATGTGACCATCTGCTTCCATAAAGCTTTACAGCCTTGGAAAATATACGGAACAGTTCTACTCCGTCGTACAGGGACACTATGAGTCAGAATCAATTCTGCAGTAATGGGTTTTTAGTTTTAGTGCCCATATTTATTTGGGTCTGTCACCCTGGATTATATCCTGTATCTCTGGCTGCTTTACAGCCCAATACCTGAGACATCAAGAAAGGACTAAACCCTCAGCATCTGCACACGACCCACCACCTAGTTTGGGAAGGGGATGGCCCAATTTGTGCCATACCCTTGAGGTTTGGAGATGTCTCCTTAGCTGTGGTCTCTGCCCCAGGTGGCATGCGGTGGGCAGGGCAGCAAGGTTCAATTTATCAAACAGCACCCAAGACCTCCTGCTCCATGACTTCTTTTTGGCCGTTGTAGCAGTTGTCCTCCACGTTTTAAGAGCTCTTGCCCAAATCTTTTCCCAGTATCATAATACACAGCCATGAAGGGTAGGGCCACAGAGGCATCACTGGGAATGGGGCAACCTGACTGGACCTGACTGAAGGACCCTCAGGTTAAGGTCTGTGTCCCCCAACTATCTCCTAGGAGCTTTGCCTGACAAAGGGGACTTGATGCATGACCCAGCCATGGATGAGGAACTGGAACGTCTGTAAGTGTCAAGTGGGAAGATGCTGCCCCCGTGTGGGAGCCAAACCTTTTTAGTCAGACATAGAGCTGCTCCCTCATGGGTCACACAGGCTTGTCTGAACCACCCCATGTGGCCTGAGTCTGAGTCTCTTAGGGGTAGTAGACCCCATGGGTGTACCTGAATGAATGCAGAGGGGCTGGCTCTGGACAGGAGGCACCTCACTGCCCTCTGGGCATCTTCCCTCTTTCAGGCTGGTCCATGTCCCAGGCCTGGTCAATTCAGTCACTGCCAGCCCAGAGGCCAGCTGCCTGCCTTCCCGGACCCCTCCCCGAGTTGCCTCCCCCTGGAGACCCCTCCATCACTCCCACAAAGTGAATACAGAAAGTGATGGCTCCACTGAAGAAACAGATGAATCCGAGACTTGAGGAATCTAAGGGGTCCTGCTTGTCATCCTCCATCCCTTGCTCCCACCCCAGCCCTTGGGACTCCTACCCAACCTCCTCTCTAGCGCTGTGCCATGCCTCCCTCTGCTGGCGAAAAGGCTGAACAGCCCCAGCCCAAAGACCTGCCTCAGGGGTTCTGATGATCAGCCAAGTCAATCCGTAACCCTACTGCCACAAGCCCCGTCAGTCTTAAGTCAGCCCTGAGCTAACTGCAGTTGAACTGAGGCCAGCTGGTCACTGGGAAGGGGACTTGGCCTTAGCCTTTTGTTGACAGTCCTCCCTACCTCTTAAGCAAGAGCAGTCTTGACTCAGCCAACCTCTTCTGCTAGCCGCCCCCCATCCCACTCCACCTGAAGATTCATCTCCTCATAGCAACTCCAAGATCATGAATAGCCAACAATGGGCTTTACATGGTCATGGGTGAGGCCTGACATGGAAGTACTTTAGCCTTCTGCTGGAGGAATAGCCACCAGCCATCATAGGTAGGAGAAAGGTGGACAGGACAATTTTACTTGCAAAAACTGTTTCAAGTTTCCCGTATCTAATAGCTAAATATGTGAAATGAATAAAGTCCCTTGTGTCTGGTAAGAGGTGAGTCTAAAACCACTAGAGTGAGAAGGGACAAAAGGAGGGGTGAAGGGAAGGGGTGTGTTTGGGAGTCTGGTGCTGAATCTAGCCTTTGTGGCAGCACTGGGAGGTAGGGGCCAGAGGACCACTCAAGCCTGAAGACCTGCCTCAAATAATGAATAAGAGGGCTTACCCTTCTGCACATGGGAGCAGCCCCCAGTTCCAAAGGAAAAATGCTAACAGCTGGAATGGGCCTTTAGAAAACTGAGGCCCAGCGGGTTCTTGGCCAGGTTCCCATAGTGTCACAGATCCAAGCAACAGAAGGGTTAGCACCACACAGCCTGCCAGCCATGGGTTGGTTCACTGAACATTTGGCAAGCACTTACTCTAGAATAGGGAAGAGGTGGTAAAGACACGGGCCGAGGGGCACAAGCTTCCAACTAAGACTGGCAGAGGGTGAAGATAGGTGGTCTTTAACTCCGTGAATTGGGTTGGGGGTCCCAGCAAGTAAAGCCCACCCAAGGGCCCAAGCAGAGGAGACTCCCTCTTCTAAAGCCGACATCACCACCACTGGGTATATATATTCTTTTGGGCTCATCCATGCCCAAACCAGCCTCACTGACCAGTTGCACATGCTGGTTCCTGAAGCCCTGAAGGGCCCCAAGCCAGGACTGGGAGATCCAATCCTAAAGCAGCTCCAAGACATTAAGGTTTCTAGGCTTATGACAATCTCCAGCTTCCAGCCCTGGAGAACAGTTCTTAACCCTGGCGTGCATCTTGGTGTGAACCACCTGGGGATGTGTATACAATGCATAGGGTCTGACTCGGTACCTGCCGGGGGTGGGGCCCAGGTTATTCCAAAGCTGGAAGTCCCAAACCACACTGGGAAGCACTGGCTTCTAGCCCCATGGCTTCCTGTACCCATTCCTTCTAATCATCTACTTCCCAGGGTAATGGTTTTCAACTGTTCCCTGAGGACCTCTGTGAGGTGGCACAGATGTTTCAGGAGCCCCTCTAGAGGGAAAGGTATGTCAAGCCAGGGGTTTATACACAAACTCGTTTTTTCCTCCTAGATTTAAGAGTTCCATTAGATAAGTCTGAATGTTTTTGTTCTGTTAACTACACTGAGAAATCCACCACCAGTCAACCCTCATGGGATAAGCCTACAAGGCTGATGAGGCCTTCACTCAGACTGCTGGCCTGCCTTCAGCCTATGGCTCAGTGGGTGAGTTAAAGGGCCAACTAATACCAGCTCTTTCTCCGCGTGCCACAGGGTGGTGAGGTCGAGGCTGCACAGGACCTCGCGACAGCACAGGGCCAACGAGCCAGGGGCCTTTGGCTTTCAGAGACGAGACAGACCGGAGGCCCTGGAGAAAGTGCCCTCAGCTTCTACACCGTCGCCCTACCCGTATCAGTGGGAGCCCAGAGAGTGAGGCAGGGAGCAGGGTCCAGAGAGGACAGCACTTCAGCTCAGACCAGCAAGGGCCCAGGGCCCCGTGGGGGCTTTATTTTGACACCACTTTGTTGCAATACAAACAGTCCAAAAAGAGTCATCCCTTGTGGGAGGAGAGGAGGGGAGAAAAGTGGTCTGTGTTGCTTGGGCGCCCAGCACAACCCAGAGGGGGGTTGGGCCCAGACTGCCAGCATGGCAGGGGAGATGGCACCAAGGGTGACACAGTACAAGGCCCAGCTGCCAGAGGGAGGCCTGGAGCCCAGGAGCCTGATTCTGTCCCTCATGGCCTCTGCTTCCTAGGTCAGCAGTGTGCTCAGGGTCCAGAGCCGAGGTGTGAGCAGCTAAGGCCCACAGTGGCCACTGACGAGGGGAAAGGACAGAGAAACATCTTGAGACAGAGGGCCCTGTAGTCCCGAGCAGGAGGACTTCAAGACACCCAGGAGAAGTAATCCTCCCCCTGACGTCCAAGTGATGACTGTAAAAAGGGGTGGTGAGACAAAGGAAGAGGACTCTGGCCTCCAGTCTGACCCTAAATGAAACCTTTAGGTTCCAGGTGTAGTTTCTAGCCCTTAATAAGACGCAGACCAAGATCCCTCCCCTCCCCTACCTTCTCCTAGTGCCCAAAGAGGCCACTGACAGCAGCAAGTCTAGAGCTTCTCTCCTGGGGGCTGATTCACAGAAGAACTCTTTCTAGGCCTCCCCTACTGGTTCCAAAAGACTGAGGCCCAAGTTCCCAAGCCCCCAAACTACCCAGAAGGATCCCAGAGCCAGCAAAAAGCTTCACAACTTTTCACTTTGCCCAGAACAAGCCATTCGGAGGGAAGCCTCTCCCCCTTACTCCAGTGTGGCTGGAAGATGAACAGCAGCTTTGGGGGCAGGACTGGAAGGACACTAACCTAGCAGCACACAAGGGGAGGGGGGGGCTGTGAGGGGAGAACAAGGGTCTTGATCCACAGGCAGAGGGCAAGGCTGGTACTGACCATTCCCCTCACCCAAGTCCTCTGAGGCCACCCCACTCACACACCACACAGAGAAAATAGCAAATCCTCCCAGCTTCCAAAAGGCAAGCCTCCCTGGCCTGGGAATCACAGGGTTCTTGCTGTCACCACCATATGCCTGAGCCATGGCGCTTACATCAGTAGGAACTGTAGCGCTCCTGGGGTGGAGAGAGGAAAAGCACACGGTCAGTGTCTAACGTACAGCAGCTTCCCACGGTGCATCCCCCCACCCCACCCCCACTACACACACACATCCTGCAGTAGAACCAAGCTGCAGGGCTCTGCACACCCTCAAGACAGGTGTCCACGGTGAGATGTGGGGGGTGGTCAGGTACCCATGTCACCACAGCAGAGACAGTTTCTTATTTTATTGTGATTTGGGAACACAGTTCTGGTCCAAACCCAAGGAAGAAGCCCTATCTGTACTCACAGAGCTGGGGAGGGAACAGAAAGAGTGGTAGAGGTGACACAACTAGGGAACAGATCAGTGTGGACACGGCACTGTCTGCAGGTGAGGCTCCAGCCCTGGTAGTACAGAGCTCAAGTGAAAGCTACCCCTCCAAGAAAAGAAAATGCTTACTCTAAGGCTCAGAGGGGCTACCCAAGATCAGTGCCTGGATGTGGGGAAGGCAAACCCCTAAGCACTACTCAGGCCCCTTCCCAGCCCAGGTCCACAGCCCCAGCCTCACCTGCAAAGAATTCATCACACCATTGGCCAGCACAGCCATCTTCCCAGCCACAGACTTGACACCCTGCTTAAACTGGGCAATGTCAGCTGTAGGGAGCACGTTCCCCAGAGATACACTACCTGTAAAAGCAAGGGGATGACCCAGAGCCTTGCAGGAAGCCCTCCCCAGCCAACAGTATCCTCCAGCTCTGCGCACAGGCCTCAATGGTGCCTGCCACCCCACTGGGGCCTTACCTGCTCCATGAGCTCCATCCACCTCCCCAAAGAGGTCTGAAGAGCTGATGGCACTGCTGCCTGAGAGCTGCTGGAGACGTGACCTGGCTTCATACTGTGGCGAAGAAAAGGCGAAGCCTGGGGATCCTGTGGTCGATGACCCAGGATCCTTCCAGGCCAAGCCACCCTAGCACTGACACCCACACCTGTGGCACTCTCATCACGTCTACCTGCCGCCTCCAACCACGGGCAGATAATTGCACCTACCTCAGAATCCATCTCCCGCCCAAAGAACATGTCAGATGAAATGGCTTTGGCTCCGGCAAATTTCTGACGTGCTTCACTGGACTCGAGGCCTGAGCTCCGGTTCTCTACTTCCCTCCGGTTTGTGGCTCTGAGGGGTGGTTGGAGAATATTACTGACCATTCCCAGCCACGAGGGGAGGCGGAGTACAGAGTACAACAGCCAGAACCAGAAGACAGCATACCCTGGCTGCACTCTGTCTGGGGCTCTGGGGCTCTCCCCTGGATGATGAACCTCCAAAGGGATCTCCGAGCCCCTCCTTCTCCACACTGAAGCTGAGGCACAGACAGCTCATGTACCTATACCAGGTATGCTGGGAGTGTGGTCTGGCGGACCTGGCCTTCTGCCCAAACCACTATAGCTGACATCACCATCCAGGAAGCTGTAAAGTCACTACTGCTACTGCTACCCCTACTAACGAGAATTTAGGGTGACCATATGTCTGGATTTACCTGTGACAGTCCTGGTTTATACCTACTCTCCTGTCTCTTGGCCCCTTTCACTCTCAAAAGCATCCTAGCATGGACACCTAACACGGAGTGTGCAGACACAAGGCTAAGTGTTTCTCAGTTCTCATCACATCTCATCCTCTCAGAGGCCCTGTGAAGTAGTTATTTATGCCCCCATTTTACAAATAGATGACTGACTTACAGATAATTTGTCAACTAGTAGATTGGGATAAAGTAAGATTAAAAAAAAAAACGAAATAAGAAGATGAGGAGCAGAGACACATAACCTTTGCGTGGCCAGGACTGAAGCATAAAATCAGGGTCCTCCCATAAGAGAAAGGTATACACAGCTGAGGCTGCCAGGTGCTCTGTGACACTAAGCACAGCTCAACCAAAGCTTGCTTCCTGCACTGCTGAATACAACAGTCACCAGCTACATGTGCCTACTTAAACTTACCAAACTCAAATTAAAAATTCACTTCCTTAGTTGCACTAGACCTATTTCAAGGGCCCAGTAGCCACACGGCTAATGGCTACCATAGGAGACCAGTGCAGACACACAACATTTCTATCACCACATAATGTCCACTGGACAGTGTGGCCCTAGACCACTCTACCTTTCTGAAATAGGCCGGATGCTTGAGATAGTCACTTCTGGCTCCTTCTCCTCCACCCTGTCCATTCCCCAGGTGGCATCTGTGTCCCAGCGGGAACCAAAACTCTCCCCCAAGGAAAAAGGGTTGTCCTTATACCTGGGGAGACAACAAAGTGACTCAGAGAAACCTGATTAGGAACACAGTGGCAAAGTCTGCTCCCCAACAACAGCCTTACTTTGGAGGTCCAGAAGCGAAAGTACCAGCATCATCAAACAAGTCTAGTTGCGAGCGGGAGGATCTGGCACTCAAGGGGGTTTCCTGCTCAATCACCTGCATCTCGGACAGCACTGAGTGCGAGACAGAGCTGTGGGGAAAAGCAGAGCCAGGCACAAGCCCAGTGGTTAGTGTTAGTGTCACCGCCCAAGAGAAAATGCCTAGCTGCTGACATAAATCTGGCTTCCCTTTCCCTGGTCACCACCCAGTACCTTCTCTACCTAACTGTGCCCGGAGCTAGGCCAGGCACCGATGCAGGAACCCAGCAGGTCATGGACAATCAATGAGTGAAGTAGCTTATTGGGATGACCCAAGAAGAGTACCCGGGACTGTGCTAAACTAGAGAGAGCACTGTCTACACATCCACTCTTTTCTTAAAGTGGGGTTTCTCTGGCAATGACCGTATGCCTATTATAATCTTAATAATGTGCATCAAGTGACAGTGCTCTCTGTCCTTAAAACAACTCACAGACTTGCTACACCATGAACTATAACCTTCCCTGAAGCACTCAGACAGACAGACACACACACACACAAACACACACACACAGGAAAGTCAAAACATAAATATGCCTTCCAAACCAAACCCAACTCGCTGCTGTCGAGTCAGATCCAACTCATAGCGACCCCTCCTTGGGTTTCTAAGGCAGTATCACTACAGAAATAGATTGCCTGGTCTTCCTTCTGAGAAGTGGCTGGTGGGTTTGAACCGCCAGCCTTCTGGTTAGCAGTCAAATGCCTTAGGCACTACACCACCAGAGCTCCTGATATATGCCCTGTTGTTGTGTTGTTGTTCTTTTGCCATCAAGTTGGACCCAACTCATAGCGATTCCTCCTTGGGTTTCCGAGGTGGTATCACTACGGAAGTCGACTGCCCAACCTTCCTTCCGAGGAGTGGCTGGTGGGTTTCAGAAACATGCCCTAGGACCAGGGAAATGAGTCTAGTGGCAACCAAAGATATGCTCTTAATGATCTTATTCCATGTTTCTTTTTCAAGACCAAAGCATCTCAAAGCACAGAGCCTGGCCTTACACAGTAAGACCTAGTTTCCCAGGGAGAAGAACATTAGATGGGCAGACAATACCACACATCATGCTTCTGTCTTCCCCTTTCATGTGACAGGGACACTTCAAGGATCAATTTGATGTAAATGAATTCACTTAAGAATGTACACAGACTGTAGCTGGGAGAACCCTAGGCAGTAAATATCTTGCAGTAGTGCTTTAAATAGAGTAGACGGGCTTAGGTTTAAATACAAGATTCTACTGTACCACAAAATGTGTATGTATACACACAACACACACACATTCTTTTTTTACTTCAGCTTTTAACAGCTGAAAAATTGTTCACACTGTAACCCAATTAATTCCTATACAGCCAAAATGTGTAAGAGGAAGAGACTAAAGTCCTTCTCAGGATTAAAATTTTATGTTTTCCTGATTAGCTGTTACAATAGCAGCAGACAGACTAAATAAAAACAGTTTAAATCCAACTGGCCCATGTTCTGAAAGATTAAGTAAAAAATACACAGGCGTATCTTCTTCAAGACAAGTATAGCATAATGGATAAAAACAACAGCTATGGAATCAAATAGGTCTGTGTTCAAAATCTAGTTCTGCCAATTACTAGTTTTGTAGGCTTCAGGCAAATTGCTTAATTGCTCTGAGTCTCACTTTTCTCATCTGGAGAAAGAGGACAGCAGTACATCCTGTGTAGGACATTTGTGTTTAAGTAAACGAGGCCATGGCAGAGCCCATGCCCCTCTGAAGGAATAGCCACCACTTGGCACCAGCTAACTGCAGGCAGGAATGCTGGCCTCAGCACTGTCAGATATTCCAACTTTTTAAGAGAAGTCAAAAACCTAGGTTTACTTGAAGTCTTTAATGTTAACTCATATTGCAAACAAAATTCATCAGAGAGCTAGTCTATAACCATTTTTGTTTTTTTAAGAAAACCACAGCAAGATAAGCCCAGTGGTTCTTGGACGGGAGAATAGTGCCCAACCAAAGGGCATCTGAAATATATAGGGGATTTGGGGTGTTACTAGTGTGTGGCAGTACAAGTGGCATTTTCTTGATAGGGCCTAGAGATGCTGGAAGCCCTGAAACTCTCAGGGAGGTCTTCAAAAATAGAACTGTCCCACTCAGTGTGCCATTAGCACCTTCATTAAGAACTACCACCTGAGGAGGAAAAAAAAGAAACCCTGCCCTCAATATACTGTAACAGGCTCTTCCTGTTTTAGCCTTTCAATAGTTACTGAGCACATACCTCCCATGTGCCAAGTATTATACTAGTTACTTTAAGACAACAAGCAAAATGATTTATTTAGCCTTGGAGAAAGACTAAGCCTAGAACCCCAAACTGCCAAGAAGAACCTTCAATAAATAGTTCCCAGGATAACAGTGGCCTTTCTCTGCCACATCCCTGGGCTGAGCCTCACCTTCGGGACACCAAGCCCATGCCCAGCCTCTCTGCCTGCTCTCGCTTCTTCCCTTCCAGATTCTGTAGCTTCTTCTCCTCCTTCTTACGATCAATCTGGAGTTCCTGGTAGGCGAGACGCATGGAGGCGACCCTTGGAGGGAAGAAACATGTCAGAGGCAGCACCCATCCTGACCTGGCTGCCCACCAAGTGCCCCCCTCTGTCCAGGGTAAACACTCACATGGACTCCTCAGCCTGCTTCTTGGCATCAGCTGCCTGCTGCTCACGGAGCTTCTCTGCCACCTGGGCCTGCCGCTCAATCTCACTGAAGCTCTGGCTGCTCACCTTTTGAGCTCCGAGGCCCTTCTTGGCACCAAGCTGGCAGGGGGAATCAGGTGATATGGGGCCTTGCCAACCACAATCTCATCCAGTCCCTCCCAGCATGGGCACTCTAGCCACACCCACAAGGAAGGCATTCCTTTTGAAAGTTCAGTGTAAGAAACAGTAGCCCAACCAGCATGGCCAAGAACAGTGGGAACTGAGCATGAGCACACCCGTAGACCGTGAGGTGGTTCACAGCCCGGCAGAGGCCTCAGGCCTGAAGACAGCAACTGATACTAACTGGGGCCGAGGATGTGCCAAGCATTCTCCTACACACTCAATGTGCATAATCTCACTGTCTCCTCCCAGGAGCCCCCTAAATATAAGCACCCTTTCACACATAAGGTTCAGAGACATTAAGTGCTTTTGCCATAGCCAAATGGCAAATGGTAGAGTCAAGGGTGAACCGAAGTGCTCCGACTCCAGAATGCCTCTCCCCACCTACCCCTTTCTTAGCTGCTGCTGGCTTCTTCTTGCCAATGATGGATGTTTTCAGTTCTGTGTGAAAAAGAAAACAAGCATGAGCTACAAGAAAGGAAGGCAGCAGTCGGCAAGTCACTCCACACCATGCAGCTTCACAGCAACAGCTTGTAGAGAGAGCTTCAGGCAGGGGAAGGCAAAGCTGCCTCCACCAGCTCTACCCCATGGTCCAAGCAAAAAAGAGAGGTCGGGGAGGCTGCTGACTCCTAGAAGACTGAGGCAGGCCCAGACCTGAAATACCAGAGCCAGTCAGCCTCTGAGCCACCATGAAGACTGCTAGGCAGGGGGCAGATGCCAAACAAGAGCCTCAGCAATTAGAGCGGGGAGCTGGCAAGCAAGGGGCCAGGTTTCCCAAGCAGCTGCTGGTTACCTCTGGCAGGAAGTGCCCCTTGAGCTGACAGAAACATGGACTCTGGGGGAGAGACAAACTTGTAGCTAACAAGGGACCCGCCCAAGAGCCTCCATACAACTTCCAAGGCCTCTACAGGGCCCAACTTCAGACCAAGTCATGCCAGCCTTCTTGTGGGGTCGGGTGGAGAATCATTCTTCTGCTAGGTTCCTGCCTCAACTCTCAAGGGCCAACAGAACAAACTGAGGTCAGCAAGTGGACTGTTCACCTTGAACAAAGTCTGAAGGTCACCAAGGAAAGAGTAAAGGTGACAGGGCAGGCCAAGGACTGGCTGAAAAGGACCAAAGTCACCTCCATCCTTCAACAGCTCAGAGCTGTACTCCACCTCATAGAAGGTAAGTGATAGGCCCAGTCTGGCCTCAGACCCCATTCCATGCTGGTTTCCCCACACTTTGGCCAGACTCAGCCCTAACCCACAGGCAGAACCCACATCTTTCATACCAATACACCCTAGTTCATCAAAGGGCCTGGCTCTAAAGTACTTGTGGTCAGTGTTGCAGCCACCATTTCAATTAGTTTCCACCCCAGAGAGGTCAAATGCTCAGTCTCTTGTGGGTTTAGTCCACATTACCAGGCAGCAACAGACCAAAATACTCAAGACCCACCCTCTCCCAGCCTATTCCACACCCACCAACTGACATACCCAGAGAGGCTTTGGGTGAGGTGGCCAAGAGGTCTGTGTTGGGGCCATTCTCCGGCTCTGTGGGTGCAATGGTGGAGTTAGGTGTAAGGCTCAACGTTCTATGACCTCCCCCAAAGGGAAGTGACCGGACAACAGGAGGGGCACTGGCTTTACTCATATTGCTGAGGCTGCCAAAACAGGAATGCCCACCACTTCCTTGAAGGAACTGGAATGAATCCTAGCTCATTCAGAGAGCTAAGACCCCACTCTTATTCCTTTGACAAGGGTCCCTTTCTTTTCCCAGGACCAGGACACTTGGCTGGAATCTGGGATGAACTCACGTGCCAGGCCACTGCTCTCTGCAGGCAAGGCTGGCTGAGTCTCTGAAGGCTCAGTGGCTTGTGCATCCCAGGCAGGAGGCTGAAAAAGAGGCCAGATCACAAGTGCCTTGATGAGCCATTCCTGCTGGCTAAGAGCACCCAGACCTACAACATCCTATGGGTACAAGGCCCTGCTCTAAGCCCATGAGGAAAAGAGAGTGGAGGCTAGCAAATAAAACCATGGTTGCTATTGACTGTGGAAGAAAGAAGCACAAACTAGCACTCCTCTCCATGCCTCCACTATTTACTGAGAACCAGAGCCCATTTCCTTAATTTAATAACCACTAACGATTCAAGCAGGAGCTCTGGTAGCATAGTGCCTAAGGCACTTGACTGCTAACCAGAGCGCTAGCGGTTCAAACCCACCAGCCACTCCTCGGAAGGAAGGTTGGGCAATCTACTTCCATAGTGATACCACCTCAGAAACCCAAGGAGGGGTCGCTATGAATCAGGACCAACTCAACAGCAGTGAGTACCATATGCCAGGCACAAGGCGGAGGACTTTTCACACATAATCATGGTAAATTATCACAATAAACACTATGAAATGGATACATCTCTATTTCAAAGAAGTTAAGTGACTGGATCAACATCATAGAAGTGCTAAGTAAAGGAGCAGGGATCCAAAATGAGACTTCAACACCCAGTGCCAGTCAAGGAAAGTCTCCTCACGGGTGGGGCACAGAGAGGGAATCCCTTCATTTTCCTCAACCCCAGTGCCTTTCTTATAAGGGAAGAATCCCTCATATCGCTTGGACCTTCAAGAAGCTTCTCCTCCTCCTCACATCTCCAGTTTATAAGCATCCATTCCTGACACACTGTATCCCCATTCATGGGAGGTGGAAACTCTTGGTTCACTCAGCAGGCAGCAGTCACCAACTCAGTGGTCCAGACATCCCCTGTCCATGGTATTGCAGCAAGGTAAATAGACTCCATGAGTGAAAAAGGCCTTGGCCTGGATCAGTCACTAATTTGTCGGGAACAATCACGGGAAGCATTCCGTACAAGCACTCACTTGGGTGTGTTCTGTGAAGAAATCAGAGTCCTTCTTCTCCGGAGAATGACTGGGAGCACTGCTCATATTGTCTATCCAAAGCTAGAAAGGAAAAGGGACCCGTGGAACACAAGGCTCTGAATTCTCCCACTCTCGGCCCATCATCCCAGTCCTGGAAATAGGCACTCACATCAGTGCCATGCCTAGCCAGGGCTGCACTCCCCAGCTGCCGGATCTTCTCCCGGTACATTTGGGCAGCTCGGCTATTATATTTGGTGTTGGCATCATTGGCCGTGCATCCATGTTGGCGGAAGAAAGCTGTCTAAGGAGCAAAAAAGAGAGAAAAACACACTACAGGTGATTCTCACCAGGACAAAAATAAACTGGTTGTAGAAGGCACCCCCTTATAATAGCCCAGTTATTATTTATACAGGATTGACACCCAAAGTTTTACACAGACTAAGTTCCTACAGAAAAGCACAGCTTCCCATCCTCTGACAGGACTGGCTGAAGCGCAACCCTCAGGCCTGAGGACAGCATGCCATACCCACTCTGCCCATCCTTCCTTCTCAAGGCCTTGGCCCCAACTCTCTTGGCTTTTCCTTGAGATACATCCAGTTTGGTTTGGATCTGAACTCCCTTTGAAAACAACTGTGGCCAACTCCCAAGTTTAGAGCATAATGTTTGATATTGTTACAGACCAAAAAACCCTGCTAACAGGGAAAGGGAGAAGGCTTCCTCGGAAGTCATGGTACAGCCAGCACCCGCCAGAAGTACAGAGAGGGAGGGTTATAGGAGCTTTACCGCATTGGCATTCCCGCCGACCTGCATACACCTCAGCTGGAACCAGTTCCAGTTGGAATCCAACTCTGTAGACCTGCGTGCAAGGGCTGCGTGTCACCCACTAGCTGACAACAGGAAAAAAGCTTTCCTGGCAGACCCACACCTATCTTTGGCTTTGAGCCGCTGTAAACGCCAGGAAACATTAATCAGCCACCACCCCCATTTCCTCCACTCTTCCAAGTCCATAAAGCTTTGCTCTTCATTTATTTATTCAGAAGACTACTAATTATTTCCCTAGATCCAAAAAGAGGTCGCATTTCCAGCCTTGCAAGCTTGGATTTGCCTTTCCCCATAAGTATGGCAGCAGTCTCACCTCTGACATATTCGGCCAAAGTAACAGTAGTGATAAGATCAAAGCAGCTAACGTCCCCCGTCTCGCCTGCCTAAACTAACGCTCAGAGTCTCAAGCTTGACCTCCAAGGAATAACGGAAGTTCCGACCCAGGCGCAAAGGGCCCACCAGAGGCAGCTCCCTCTTCAGAGAAGCTACCGGACTCTCGGCCTGGAGGCTGCAGATGGGCGAACTCGGCGCGGTCCTAGTGCGGCAGCCGGTCTCCCTTGCTGACCACAGACTCATACGACTGGGTGGAAAAAGAAACACTGCAGCGCACGGAAACCCCACCTGATGAAGCTGAGATGGACTCCCAGGGAGCGGTGAACCCCGGAGCAGTCAATGCACAAGAAAACACCATACGTGATGCTGGCCCAACTCGGGTTCTTGGCGCCGCAGTCGAAGCAGGCCTGGATGGAGGAGGAGACGCGCTAATGATCAGGTGGCCCGCGTCGAGGCCGGACGCTGACACCCCAAAAAACAGCCCACTCCCGCCTCTCTCCCTCCCGCAGGCCCCAGTGGAACCAGGAGAGTCCCTCTCTTCCGGGACCAAGTCCCGCGAGCCTCCCGCTCAGGCACCTTGTTGGTTGGAATCGCGCGAAGCCTCTTAAAAAGAGTCTGGATTTCGGTCTTGCTCGGCTCCGCCGCCATTTTCTCTCCTTCCCAGACACAACCGCGACCGACGGATCCCGTCGCAGGCCAATCTTAGTCTGGGAAGGCGGGGTGACCGGGTGGGCCTCAGCCCTGCTTTGGTAACCAAGGGGTGGTAAGATTTGGGCCCTATCTGGACCAATGAGCAGCCAGCGGAACAGGAGCATAGACGTCACCAACCCTGGGCTCTACAATGGTCACCAGAATAAACGCCGGGCCGAGCCGGGACCAATCCGTGGCCAGGGCGAGCGACGGCTCGCGAGCTGGCCCAAACCGCCTCTGGAGCGCTTACCTGACGTCTCAGCCCGCCCTGTAGGCGGAGCCACTTCCCACAAGACTGGGATATGGGAGGCCCGGGCGCAGGCTTGAATTCTGTCCAGTTACCGACTGATAAGTAATAATTAACGTCCTACCAAGCACTTGTTGTCTGATGAGCCTGAACGGGAAGACATACTGGCCCGGCTCCCAGCCAGCGCAGAACTCATGTCCCAAAACCCAGTTTCGAGCTGTGGCTGATCTCCACTCCCACCCCAGGTCAGGGTCCCCAAGTTCCAGAGCACGTGCCTAGCTGGCACACCCTTGCCCTACCCCCGCCCTGTAACGTACCGTAGGCCCACGGACCTCCCTCCAGATGCCCTCTGGAGGGAGGCCTGGCAAGGGTGGAGGAAATATCAAAAAAGATGCACACCAGCCTAACAGTGCTGTTTTTGTTTTTTTGGGTTTTTTTTCCAAGTTTAATACACACTAGAACAAGCCACAACAGACGATGCTGCTAGCCCAGAACTACACTCGCCCCAAGCCCACCCCAGGAACCCCAACACACAGAGTCCAGGAACTGGGTCCACAGCTCCGGGGGAGGCCCAGGCACCTCTGAGCCCTCTGTCACCTCCTGAGCTTCCAATGTTGCCCTCAGTCTAGACGCAGCTGGCCATTCCCTACCAGGCTCTTCCCAAACACAGGCTCCTCCCTTCCCTGGGTCCTGGGATTTCTTCCCCCTCAGGGGACAGAGGGGCAGCAGGAGCATAGTTTTCAGGGCCCTCACTCCGGGCTGTCTGGGAGAAGCTGGGCTCTGACCCAGGGTGGAGAAACGTTGCAGGAGGGCTGTCAGGGCAGGTCAAGCCCCCACACACTCCACGTAGTTGGCGGGGTACAGGCCGACGCGGCCACTCTGCAGCTGGCCCTGGCACCAGCCCTGCTCATCCTCCTCGCTCATCTTCAGCAGCTCCTCCCCTGGGGAAAAGGGGATTGGTCACTGACAACTGCCCTGCCCCAGCCCCCCATTCCTGCAACGGGGTCAAGGACCAAGCAGGAGGCGGCAGTGCAAAAGCCCAACTAGAAGAGACGTGCCTCAGCTAGAGAGGGGTGGACGTCAGCGAGACCCTGAAGGCAGCAGGTGACTCAGAGAGGAAGGTGAGGACTCAGAAAGGTCAGTGACGCCCGGGTGCTGGACTGAGAACAGCCTCGAGAGTCAGAGAACTGGGCCTTGAGAAGTGGGGATCTGGCCTCCCTGTTCCAGGCTCCTGCTTAGGCTAGTAAGGGGGAACTTATGCCTGGAAAGGAATAGAAAAGGGGCCCCGGGGTACCTGCTCGGAAGCTCAGCTCATCAGCTTCCTGGCCAGCGTAATCGTAGAGTGCCCGCACTCGTACTCCAGTGGTGGTCTTTCGGGGACTCTCCTCATCTGACCAGTCCTCATCCTGCCCACTGCTGTAGAGGGAGGTAGGAGAGCGTCAGGCAGGAGGCAGGAAGCCCAGGGGCCTAGAGAGCCCGGGACTCAAGGGCAAAGGGCTTACCCCCTGGAGGGACTTTAGAAGAGACAGGGTAGGGAAGAGCTGCGAGATTCTAGTCCCACTGCGCCGTGCCTCACTGTGAGCTCAGGGGCAATTCCTGCCACATAGAGCTGATGTGAGCAGGAAGTGAGATGGAACGTGGGAAATGCCTGGCAAATCGAAACCACTAGGAAACTAGTAGCTTTACAATGACCCTAGGAACCCTGGTGGTACAACAGCTAAAGCACTCTGCTGCTAACCAAAAGGTTGGCAGTTCAAACCCACTCAGCAGTCCTGGAGGAGAAAGACCAGATGACCTGCTCCCCTAAAGATCACAGCCTAGAAAACCCTAGGGGGCAGTTCTCCTCTGTCACATGGGGCCGCTGAGTCGGAATCAACTTGACACCTGGCAGCAAATAGGTCCCTAAGGTCCCTGGCACCAATTCTTAACCTACGTCAGGCATGAAGGGAATGACGTGAAGAGGAAAGGAGGCAGAGGGTAGAGCCATTTTCTCCCACAGCCAGGCTCCTGGCTCTCACCCTGGGGACCCCGGGGACTGGGGTGGGGGTGCAGTGCCATCTCTTGTGGGCATGATGCTGGTCAGTGTAACCTCATCCGGGCTCCGGCCACCTTTCTCCTTCCGGCTGATTGCCCTCTGTGTGTCCAAGGACCACTCCTGTGGGGACAGGGCTTAAGATCAGGCTAGGCTGCAGGATGTGGCAGCAGCCAGGCTCATCCAGAACAGCCCTCACCAGAGCCCAGGAGGGACCCATGTCAGCCCAAGCCCCGGCCTCCCTCCTGAGGCCCAGGATGACGCTGAGCCCAGGGGAAACTCCCCCACCCCCCACCCCACCAGCCCGGAACACGTGCCTCGAACTGTGGCCAGTTCATGGCCATGCCAGGCCCATGGGTGGTGCGCCACCAGCGCAGGTCCTCTTCATCGCTGGCCACCTCAACACTCTGGCGCAGGTCACGGTGTAGCTCTTGGAACCTGTGGCCCGAGGCACAGCTCTCAGTCTGGGAGGCCCAAGGCCCTAGAACCCCCTAATCCCATTCAGCCTGGCCAGAACGCAGGGCAGCCAAGGAAGGACCAGAACTGTCCCAGTCTCCACACCCACCCCATAGGCCACACCTCTCATTGCTGGAGAGGTCCAGGTGCTGGTGCAGGGTGAGCAGAATGTCCTTGAAAAAGAGCAGCCGCTGGCGCTCAGCGGCCTGGCAGGCCTCAAAGGCTTGCTCCATGTCCTCCATGTAGCGCGGGGTATAGCGATGTAGCTCCGTCAACGCCTGCTCGTAGTGGGTTTTTGTCTGGGTGAGAAGGGAGGAGGTCTGGTTAGGATAAAAATTTCTACTCAGGACACTGGTATTCACTGCACAGCACCAGGGGCAATTAGCCCCAAGAGCGGCTCCTGCCCTCAAGGATTCCAGCAACCTAACAAGGCAGGTGACATTCAGCCAGCCAGAGCAGCTGTAAGACTCTAGCGAGAGTAAGACCAGGTCACCCTATGGGGAGGGGTGGGAGAAATCAGCAAAGGCTTCCTGGAGGAGGTAGAAATGGAACAGCACCTTAGAGGAGGGGCGAATTTAGATTATGCAGAGTTGGAGGAGAGAACGCTCTGAGCAGAGCAGGCAATGTGAGAACTTGTCCCGGGTGGTACTCCATGAAAGGAGAGATGCTGGAAGGCACTCCTCAATTGCTAAAACCATCCCCTGCCTAAAATGCCACCATTTCTCTCCTCGCTGAAGCATCACCTTGTTTCAGGTTCTTCCCTTAAGAATAATCTGAAGAGAGGGTGACAGGAGAGGTTTAAAGCAGTAAGAATGCTAAGGATTGAACTTATACAAAATATCATGACTTGACAAGCGTGTAGAGACTAAAGCTTATTAGTGGTTATCAGGGGCAGGCAGGAGGGAGGAGGAAAGGAAGGCTCATTGCTAAGGAGACCCTGAGCTTGTGACGGGTGAAGGAAATTTTGCAAACAGATAGTGATAATGGTTGAACAAGATGAACATGACTAATGTCACTGAACATGGACATGTAAACAATGGTGAGCTACTGCTGCCAGATGTTTGTTATGTATATGTAAAAAATATAAATATTATTTATATTTAAGAAAGTGGAAAATGCCTGCTTTGAGCACTGTGTTCTTTTAAGATCAATCTATATGGCATCAACCTACAACAGCAGCTGGAAAGATTCGATAGGAGCCTTAGGGGGCAGTGAGTCGATGTTAATGCGGGAGGAACAACTCAGCAAAGGAGGGTGAGGTGGATGCCCAATGCGGAGAATGTCGTCAGTGCCGCTGAGCTGTACATGGAGAGACTGTGGGACTGGTGTGTGTGCTGCTGTCCATACTCTCAACAACAACAAACTAAGTAAAATTTATAACAAGATAAGGAGCCCTGGTTATGCAATGGTTAAGCACTCTGCTGCTAACCAAAAGGTTGGCAATTCAAACCCACCCAGCATCTCAACAGGAGAAAGACCCGGCAATCTGCTTCCATAAAGATTCCAGCCTAGAAAACCCGTTGTGGTAATTTAACTCTGTCACACGGGGTCACAAGGGAGAATCTACTCAGTGGCAACTAACAATGATAACAATTAAAAAAAAAAAAAAAAAAAAGGCTGGAGATTGCAAAAGGCATTAAGGGAGCCTTGACCTGGGCCAGCCCATGCATCCCACTGCCCACACCTTTTCGGCCTCCTTGGTGCAGCGTTCCACCCGCTCTTGAAGCTTGCGCAACTGTTCCTGGGAGACAGTACTGTCTGCCTTCGAGTGGCTCTCCCGGGTCTGGGCTGTCTTCTCATCCTTCCGGGCTGCATGGTAGCTCTTCTTGGAAGCTTCAACCTGGGATGTATGGAGACAACTCTGAGCCCTAAATGCCACTTTCTGGCCCCTGTGCACTTCCTGTGCAGACCAGGAAGGGGCCTCCTCTGAATCCCACCCCACCCAGGCTTACCTCCTTCAGCCGCTTAAGCCAGGGTTTCTGGGCCTTGCGGAAGCTGTCCTCCGCAGCCCGGCTCTCACGGAAACCACCCAGGACCGGCCGGTGGAAGGCCCCTCGCTGCCAGGCACGCACCCGCTCGCTATCCTGTCCTTGTAGCTTCTCCCGTGCCTCCAAGTGCAGCGCACTCAGCCGTTCAGCCGCCGTGAAAAAGGCGTGCCAGGCCTTCTCCAGTGTGCCATACTGGGGACCTGCAGAGAGGGTCGGGGCTTAGGCCAGGCCAGGG